ATAACCAATTATAAAAAAAAAATTCATTTTAATGGACAATTTTCATGTAAAATAAAGTCAAAAGAACACTAAACTTTGATGAAAAAATGATTTTCTTGTAAATATTTTTTTTTTTTTTACTTTTTGGCAATTGAAACAAATTTTATAACAAATTGTGGAAAAAATTATCACCTTCATGGACAGTTTCCATGCAAAACAAAATCAAACGAACACAAAGAGATTCAAAATTTTAAAATTTTTCGAGTGGAAAATTATACCAATCAAACACACTTAATTAACAATTCCCTAGAAAATAAGTTCTAGACAATTATTTTTTTCTGGAATTCATTTTCTTATCACCAATTTTCCACAATTACAATCAAATGGACCATAAGATTAGTTTATATTTGTTATGAGTTAGAGATGAAATCAATGATTCCGTTTTTAAAATATCTATTGATGCTCAGTTCGAAAATTTTAATTCTCTTTAGAATCGAGAACACTTCAACTCTTACCAAAAGTATTAGACGTGATGTGAAACGGAGAGGCCACCTCGACCTCACCCCTAACCCATTCCATCGCCTTCCTTACGGATGAGGAAACCTGAACAAAATTTTACACACATGAAAATAATATACTATCTGACTTTACTCGTGGAAGCTCCACAACGCTCAACCCCTTCAGGACCACTTTTGGCGGCTTCACTAAAATTAAGGTACGCCACTACCACCTATAATGATTCCCCGCCCGCCGCCACCGTCCGCCCCCTCTCTCTTTCTCTCTCCATAATACTTCTATTCCATCACGTTTTTAATTCTTGACTTCATCATATTATCCGTCCATTTTTTAAAAAAAATTATTCACAATTCATTAAATTTTCCATTTTTTTTCCCTGTAGCCGACTATTCTATTAATGGTCCCAAAATTGAAACGTTCTTTTCCATCATGTTTTCCGGTGGCTGAAGATGTATAATTGAATTTGTCAACCTACATTTTTTTAATTTAATTTCTGAGGTATTTTTACTACTATATTTTACCATATGTTACATATGTGCTAATATATTATAATAAAGTGCAGTGTTAACAATAATCATGATCTCTCATACTGTAATTTTCGCCAAAAAAAAAAAAAAAATTTATTTATATGGTTATTTTTCTTGGTAAACGGTGTTTTTTTTTTTTTTTTTTTTTCTAAATGGGTTCATAACCATAGTTAAAAAACATTTCAAATAATTATTTGGTTATTGAAGATCAAAATTATCCAAAATATATTCGATTTAAAAAACTAGAATTTATATACTAATCGAAAGACTTTATTCATAAAAATATATTTAAAAAAAAAAATTACAATATCACGAAGACACGTGAATATTTCCATTATCAATCTCTTCGATTCTCCCATTTTCTTCAATAATTTTTTAGACACGAGTTTGTGTGTGTGAAAGTGGAACAATGGGTTGCTTGCAGGAAATAAGATTGTTTAATTCTATTGGTTCAAGCAAACTATGTTCGTACCAAGGCAAACAATAAGAATCAAAACAAGATTGATCATAGGATTATTAATTAATTAAAGGATAATGGGGATTATTGTCCACACGTATCCTTTAAAGCCACGTGCGTTTTATTAACATGATAAGATCACATTAGTGGATGACTTAACAATCAAACTTACTAAGGGGTGTTTGGTGGGGATTAAAATTAGATTTTTAGTGGATTGTGACAGAAGTTTTTGAAATGTGTGGTTGAAAAGATGTGAAACCCATGAAAGATGTGATTAATATTGATTGTTTGACTTTGAATTAGATTAAAATCAGATTTTAATCCGATCCAAACAGACCCTTATATAAAATTAAGAATATTTTGTTCCCTTAATTATTTTTGGGTTACTTTTTTTCCTTAATCTAGAATTAGAACAAATTAAGAGTTCTCTTAATCTGGTTCAGGTCCCATAGCCATTGTTTCCAAAATGCCCACTTATGAGAATTATAAAATAACAAGTAACAAAGACATTTTTGTTCATAAAGATAGTGGAACAAATTATGCCCCATCATCTACAACATTATATTAATTGCAATCATAATCATAATTAGTTTTAAAAAAGGACCATGACAATATTTTCAATATCAAAGAATAATACTCCGAATGCGTGCGTTACATATATATATATATATATATAATATTAAATCGTACTGATATAATAGACAACGCTTCAATCTTTTTCGTTATATTCACCATCGAGTGCTAGTTAATTCATTTTATCAAAAAAAAAAAAGTTAAAAATTACAATAGAATCTAGACATGTAAATCCAAATTAAGTTGACTGTCCCTCAACAAATTATATTGTGCGACCTTAAAACTATATTCTAGTTGATGAGATGAAGAATGTTTTCTACAAATGAAAATTTTCCCCTTAATTAGTTTTTGTTTCTTATTCTACGTACTTGTCGGAAAATTTCTATTGTAAGAGCTTCCAAATGTCGTCATCCACATTCCAGAAATCCTCACTGTACTTCCAATTGCTGTCGTTGAAATCTAACCCTTGATTGAAAGATTCTCCATAGGGTAGCTCGTTAGGTGGAAAATAATCTTGGTTATTGTGGTGATTGACTGGATAATTGAAACAATCCGTCAGGTCTGAAACTGGAGAAACTTGTGCTCCAAATGAGTCTGATGAGGCGGCGTTGCAGGAAGTTTCCGGCGTGTAGTTGCTAGGGTTAATCTGAACGCCACCACTAAAGTAGCCAGCCATGTTAGGCTGTGGCAGCACCATTTGGCTTGGGCCCATATCAAGATTAGTTTTGTTGAGATGGTAATTAGAGACGGTGGTGGTACCGGAGTTATTGGTGGTGGTAGTGGTAGTAGAGGAAGTCCCTGCCGTCGACCCAGTCGGGGCGGCGCCCGCCTGAATTCTCTCAACCAATCGTGGCATCCAAAGATAACGCAAGGCGTCCTTAAATTGCTTGCTGTTCACGTCACATTTGAGCTGTTTAGCATGTTTTTGGACTCGGGTTCTCCAATAATTCTTGATCTCATTATCAGTTCTACCAGGCAAATGTTGAGCAATTTTGGACCACCTATATCGATTCAAAACCTTTAGCTTACCCAAGAAACCCATATCCATATTTAAGCAAAGTGAGATAATTATTTCACATGGAGATTAACATTAAACATACCTATTACCCCATCTAGAATGGAGTTCAAGAATCAAAACTTGTTCTTCAAGAGTAATATTTCCACGTCGAACGTTGGGGTGTAAATAATTTAGCCATCTCAATCTGCAGCTCTTTCCAGTTCTCCTTAGACCTATACCATCAAAATTTTCATTAGCCAATGAAGGAAATAAAGGTAAAATTCATCCTAAATTTCTCAAAAGAAACGTACTATAGGGGGGGGAAAAAAAAGATCAAAATTTCTTTACTTTTCGTACAGCATCTGTCTTATCCTTATCAATCCCACCCCCACCTATCCAATTTCAGAAAACGTGCCTTTACTTTTTTAAGTTTATGCCGTACAGACAATTAGTATGAATAAATACACAGCACACAAGAAAATTCGATAGTTTAAAATAAAAAGAGGTTAAAATATTGTCAATTATACTGGGAGTGCTGCTTTTTACCGGCGCAGGTGGCGAGGGAGTTCCAGCGACCTTCCCCGTGGTGGGCGATATAGTTGATAAGGGTGAAGTCTTCATCGGCGGTCCATGGACCTCGGCGGAGCTCCATTAATTCTTCTTCACTTTGGTTGTAATTTCCACCTCCTTTGACATGGTGCTCCATATTACGCTAAGTGGAGAAACTAACTGATTGACACAAAATGGTGTTGATGGATTTGAGAGATTTTAGAGAGAGAGAGAGAGAGAGTTGGAAATAGATTAGGATTAATACAGAGAGGATAGAGAAATGAGGTTTACATCGATAGATTTATAGAGGTCTGAAAGTGGTGAAGAAAAAGGTGGCATGTGGGAGAAAGAAAGTAGTACACGCCGCAATAGGGATTTGGTTTTTCAATTATAATTAATTACTTAATTAATTTATTAATCCTTTACACTTGAACTCGGTTTATAGTGATTATTACTATAGTTAACAAGGGGGCTTTGAAGTTTGACACTTTGACTTCATCAATTTTTGTGCGTGGCGCTGCCATTACCATTCCAAAATAATATTTTTTTTCTACTTTTTATTCTTTAATAAAGTTGAATTTTTGACTTTCTTGCTTCTCGCCGTGCTTCTAAATTTCCACATGATAGAAAGTATACCGACGAATGAACTATGTAGACTGTGTACTTCACCATGTATATTAATTTTGTTTCTCTCCTTAAAATTGACTTTTCAACTTAATGGAGCGCCGAAGAAAAGATTATTGCACATAGTTAGTAATAAATTTATTTAGGGGGTGTTTGATGCATATTATTGAGGGAATAATGTATTTTAAACAGTGATATAATGAAAAATATGTAATTAAAAAATAAGGAAAAGTTTTGGATGTAATGAAAAATATTATTTTATTGAAAAATGTGTGATTCAAAATGAGTTTTGAAAGAATGTGAACCAAACAGGGACTTAAAACAAAATTTATTTATTAATGTACCCGCTATTTTTACTAAGTTATATATAGACTGGGATCGAAGTAGACTTGTGGTGTGAATTCAAGCAATATCAATTTGATAGTTGTAATACATTGAATATGAACTCATTTAAGAACTTTAAAGGTTTTTAATGAATACACTTGAATGCCCGTTTAGTATAAATTAAAATCTGATTTTAATTTCAAGTTAAAGTAAACAATAATTTTAACTGTACATTTTAATTTGAACTTGAGTCATGTAGATATTGGATCTACTTTTATTCTTTCGCTTTCCTCCCTTATTCTAAAAAAGGGGAAAAAAAAATTTATCAACTTTTATCAAAATTTATAGAAATTCTGATTTTGATCTACACCAAACAGGGACAAAATAAAAAATTGTCAACCCAAGTAAGCACCCTATAATGAAAGGACTATATCAAATGAGGACTACAATCCATTTTTTGTAAACAGCAAATGCTTAAGAGAAATAATATCTCCTCTTGCTGTACGATTATTTGTATAAATTTTTTTTTTTTTTTTGACAATTTTGTTGACATCCATATGTTGTCAAGATCCATGTCGTTAATTTTTAAAAACAGGCTTTTTTTTTTTTTGTCAATTTTTTAGAAGTTGAGAGGCTCAAATTTTGAAGTTTATGGACTTTATGCAGAAGACTGAAATACCCACTTAATAAACTTTAAAATAATAATGTCATTTTTATTTTGAGCTCCATCCTCTAAAAAATTTAATTTTTTTCTCAAACTTATTTTTAAACACACATTATCCCAATAAAATAATTTTACACGTAAACTTAGAATTTTTACATTTTTTAATCATACATTCTATTGACCTATGGTTGATTTCATCCTTAATATTTTGATCATGACAAACAAGATTAAAATTGTTTCTAGTAATTGATTTTGAGCGATGATAGTTCGATATCAAAATCAATCAAACATTATAAATTGGATTCGAAATGAAGATCAAAGTGGAAGTTAAACATTCAAGTCAAATCATTCGAGACGAGAACTAAAAAGATAAACGTGAAGAAATATCAAGATCAAGTGGATGAGATACGATACCAAAAAAATTCATTTCTTTTTGTGCTTAACTTATTTATATCAATTTTAAGAGAGAGATATAATTTTGAAAGTCTTTGCACTTACATTGCATAAATTTTTATACTTTTTCAAATTAAAAACTTTGATTGATTGAATCAAATTTGTAAAATCATCATATATATCAAAGTGTTTCATTTCTCTCTTAATACTTAATTTATTACAATTATTCATTAAAAAAGAGATATATTTTGAGAAGATTTTTTAACTTATATTGCATTTATTTTTTATTTATCTTCTCGTTGAAACATTTTGATTAATTGAATCTAATTTTTAATTATCATATTCATTAAAGTTTTTCTTCTAACACTTGAACTTTTATTTATTACTATTCGTTCAAGTGTTAGCATATCTTAGTACTCAATTTGTTTGTATTATTTATCAAGAGATGAATACTATTGTAAAATCCTCTAAAGATCAATATTGTATAAGGATCGGTTCTCCTTATTGTAAGTACCATGTGGGTCATATTGAAGTCCCTTAAATTTCAATAGTGTGTGTCATATTGAAGTCCCGTAAAGCTCAATAGTGTACGTTATATTAAGGTTCCACGAAAGTTCAATAGTGTGTCATGTTGATATCTCATAAAGTTCAATATTGTATAAAGATCAGTGCTCCTTGTATGTAAATCACTGGAAGCGTTGTAAAGTATTGCATTGCACCATAAGTCAATTAATATGGTGAAAATGCATTGCTCGTACCGGAAAGTTTGGTAACGGAGGATGTAGATCATTTCTTCGAATCGAACCTTTAATTTATCTTTCGAAAAAGTTTTAAAAATTAATCACCCATATATTGATTAGTTATTCTTGACCTGTCACATTCTCAAAAAATTACTATTACAAAATCTAATTTCCCCTCAAAACTGGAGCTTAGACAGGGGCTTCATTCCCTTCACATGCTGCCACTATCAAATACAATAATAAAGAATATTCATAGAATCGACTCTAAATTTCTTAAAATATAATTAAGTCTAAAATTGATATTTACAATGATTTTTTTTTCCATTAGTGAGGAATACATTCTTCCACATTTTATTATTATTATTATTTGAATCAAACAGTACCATTTCTTTTGTCTCACATACAAAAGGCGCAACAAACTAAGGAATACAATATTTAAAACCAGTGAAAAGAAGTAACAAATGAAGTGAGATTGTAGGCCACTTTATTCCTATTACGAGGCACAAAGTTGCACGAACCACATCCCACTTCCCTAAGCAAATAAACAATTTCAAAAGTGAGTAAAGCATTTCAAAAAAAAAAAAAAACATTGACAAATTTAATTGTCGATAATGCATGTCTTTTTTTTTTTTTTCTAATGGATAAAAATATCTATTATTAATATACCATAAAAATAATCGCGATTAGAGACACTATACAACTAGCTACCAATAAATCTCGTGTCACTGAAAGTGTCTAAGCGTCGAAGTCCATAAATAAACACATTACTGCAAGCATAACAAGGCAAAGAATTCATCAATATGTTGTTTACATGTCACAATTTTTTCGTTTATTTTTTGCCAGATAGAAAAGTAAAATCTAGAAGGGAATATTGCTGAATGCATTCACTTGAAAAGCTTCCCGAACTAAACATATAAAATATTCTTAATGACTTTTTTCTATTATAATCGTGACTAGAAACACTATACAACTAGCTATTAATCAACCTCGTGTCACTAAAAGTGTCTGAGCGCCAAAGTCCAGAAATAAACACTTTACTGAAAGCATAACATGGTAAAGAATTCATCAATATATTATTTACATGTCACAATTTTTTCGTTTATGTTTTGGCGAATAGAAAAATAATATCTAGAAGGGAATGCTGATCACACGTTTATGTATAAAACATATTGGTTAATTGTCTTGCTTAATACATTCACTTGATAAGCTTCCCGAACTTAACATATAAAATATTCTTAGTGACTTTTTTCTATTATTATATTGCATGTTTGTCTTATGTAGTAGGAAACATCAATCTTTTTGTGTTTTCTTTTGTCATCTTTTGATTTCATATCACAAGATGCTTCATTTGAAATTAAATTGTAGTGAGATATATTTTTAATTAAAGACACGACAATAGCATTGCACATAATATACGTAATGTACCGTACGAATATATTTCTCTTTATTTAGTGTACTAAGAGTCATGAAGGACAAAAAAATTAATACACGTTATGTTCACAATGGCCAAAAGGAACATGGTCGAGCCTATATTGAGTGCAAGTTGCGTGGACAACGCTCGACAATAAGAACATAGCCCTGGGCCATTTTTCTCTCCTTCCCACCTGCTTATTTTATGGCTTAATTGTGTTTTAAGGTATTTTTGTCGCTTGAAGTATAGTGGGATTTGAGTGATAAAGCAACTAGGGTTCTTATTGCCCACAATTGTTTTTGATAAAATTTAATCGAAATTGGAGGTTTTCTACATTTCTTGATTCAATCTAACTTTTTTTTTTTTTGCAAAATTACATGTTTGTGATACCACGTTCGTTAAATTTATCACTGTCCTACATCACTCGACCTTGAAAAAGTTTTTATATGAGAAAATATTATTAATGTTTTGAATTAAAACATATAATAAAGATATTTGAATATAAAGTAATATACACACAATGTCGATCCTTGCAAATAAAGAAGTGGACAACCGACTCCTACATTAGTCGCTTCTTATTGATTCTTCAACTATGTATTTATATATATTACATTCCTACAATCATTATTTGAAAAGTGATTCTCTCTTATATTCGTAAATTTTAGTTTTTGCCCTCTAGAATCTTTCTTTTTGATGATTAAACTCATTTTTATATATTTAGTGGTGAGCCAAGATATTTTTTTTTTCTGTTTGGCTGTCGTTCTATACGAATTTTGGCATCTCAATATTTTAGTTCTTACTAATAAATTGCAGGATATACAGCATACTACAAGTGACATCATATTCGAAATGACGTCCCACTCTTTGCTTTTCAAGATAATGTAGTGAGGTGTAAAAATTTGAATGATAGGATAGCCAAGTGAAGAACCAAACGACAATGACGGACGTTAACTTATTTAGTCATAGATTTTATGTCATTTTGATTTATATCGATCGTGGGC